GGGAACCACCTAGTTTCTGCCTTGCTGTCACACAAGTGGAACACTCTTCAAGAGGGTTAAAACAGACATTGTGATATTTTATAGATGGGGAAACTGAGTTCTCAAGGATTCACATTTGAGGAATATTTATTGAATAACGACTATGAGCTCAGTACAGTGAAAGATGGCTTCCCATTAATCACCTTGTTCAGCCTCCCAGTAAGTCAGAGACATAGGTATCATCCCCATTTCATGGAGGAAGACACTGAGGTGCAGCGACAAGGGACCGGCCATAGCTGCTCAGGACGGTGAGGCCCGACCCGGGCCTGGAGTCTGCTTCCCAACTCATGGGTTCTGTACAAAACCAAAGCCAAAACAAAAACCATTTATTTCAGACTATTTCTTATTAAGGGAGTTTGATTTCTGAACTGTACTAATTTAGTATGATCATTCATGTTACTTTGGTACTATCTTGACATCCAGAAAATGAAGAAACATCATCCCAGCCTCCATATGACCTCTCCTTTATAAAACAGCGTCACTTTGGGCGAGGCAGGGTTCATGGCTGGGGTGGAGCTATCGCTTCAGGAAAAGCTGGCTCCTGAAAGGATCTCCAGCAACTTGGAGCCTCCGCCTCTCCTTCCCAGCCCCAGCATCCAGGCTAGTTGTTTGCTCATAACATATAATAAATACATCCCTCCTTTCCTATCATAAAGTGGCATGAAACTTTCTGACATTGACTGAAAAGGAGAAATGATAAGGTTATACCAGGAAAAGGGAAAATCCATGGTCATCGGTAAAATCCAAGGCCTGCTCTGGGGATGGCGGTAGCTGAGAAGGACACGTGAGGACTCCATGGCTTTGTCAACAAAGGAGAAACCGTTTGCAGTTTGGGAGACGGCGAGTACTTGGAGACGTCTGGACAGTAGGTACGGGGTGAAGCAGGTGTTCGGGGCTGAGTGACGGGCTCCACCTAAGCCTGTCTGAATGTCTCAGGAGGATTCCAGGCAACATAAGGCTCAGGCGTGATTCCAGGGCAACACGTGGCAGGACAAGTTTTGAGCAGAATAACCTAACTTGCATGGGTTCTGTTCCATCTCTTTAACACCCCTCTTTCCTTCCTCCTCGGCAACCAGAGCCCACCCCTCTGTGCCACCTGGCCACGCCTTCTCTCTGACTTTTGGGTCCCCCTCCCCACACATGACAAAGCTCCACCCAAGCCTATCCTCAAGGACAGTGACCTACACTTGGAATTTAGGCCATCTTTTCTACTCTCTACGCCATCAGCTCTCAAGTTCCCAATACAATTTATCTGACCTAATAGTTGCCAGGCAAGTAACTTGATTACTGGTGAGTCACATAAGTCATTTGCATTATAAAAAAGATACTGGTTCATCTGAAAGGCCATTGGCATTCATAAAATGAATTTACCAAAGATTCTTTAGATGATTATTTGTGGTTATTATCAAAGTGACAGAGGATTATAAAGTCTTAACCATTGCATGTGCCCCCAATATGTCAATGAAAAGCTAAAGCTTGAAGAATTGTCTGCAGGTAGTCTGCTTGGTAAATAGCTGAATTTGGGAAGCTGCAGCAAAATGGCAGAGACTTAGGGAGTCTCATACCTGGTGAGCCCAATAGAGACACTTTTGCGCATTGAGAATGGAGACAGATACACAGGATGTTGCTTATTTGTTTTGATGAAAATCCTCCCTGTCGTGTTTTAGCCCTTTTGAAATATACTGAATCAGTAAAGGTTTCTCCTTGAAGTCATACAAAGACCTAGGACGCTGAGGACAAATTGCTGATCGCACCAAAGTACATTAAGGAACTTATATATATACAAGGAAGAACTTCTGAGGAAATTCACTGTCTGGATGGGGTTGGCAGTCCCCTCTAAGTTCCTCTGTCTCAGGTGTCTCTGGGGGAGGTAGTGAATGGGGTCATCTTGCAGCTGCGCTGTCCTAAGTGACTGCAAATTATCCTGAGCTTCCGTGGCCTCCCCAGGATCCCCCAGCCTCCTAACTGCGCTCTGTCTCTTACTCTGGCCACACTGAGGAAAGAACTCCATGTCACGGCCAAGAAATTGTGCTCCTTTTTCCACCTTTGCCATTAATTGCCTGGAGAAATAGTTTGAACCTGGTGCAGAAGGGGGTCCTTACCCAACTCAGCATTTACTTTTGAACTCTATGCTCCACAATGTTGAAATTACAGTGATCAAACCTCCATTTTTTTAAAGAGAATTTTACAACCAGTGCAACGGACACCATCTGTTTCTGGAGAGCAAGGAGCACAAAACACAAAATATAAATAGAGCAGTAAGAATGTTGCAAATACTTTTCCATGATGGAATCAATGGTGATGAGGTGATTATGGAAGCATTAAGGAACTTTGAAAGCCAGGTTTTAATCCTGGGAAACACAAATATTATAGACTCCCCAGTCAATCAACAAGCTTTACCTCAATCATTTAACGGTAAACAATTGGAAAAGTGCCCTAATTAACATAATATAAAAAACAAGAGATGGATACATATTTGTCTAGCCATTTTGGCCCAAGGGCCTCCGTAAACTTCTTCACTCATTGAGTAGCCTGAAAAATGGTTAAGACTGAAAAAAATTATTTGCTTATAATCTATCATTTAACTTAAAAAACTACTGCCTTTTAGAAAATGCATCCTTTATATGGTTGGACAAGCTAAGAATAGATGAATAAAGTGTACGCACCTAACCAAAATCTCAAAGCTTTTCTCTGGTAAGTTAAAATGAACCCCAGCATTGAGCCACAGCCGGGGACGTGATAGGTTGGGGGCAGAAGTCTCACAGCCAAAACTTGTGTCTTTGAAATTGTTACATGATTCAGAAATTTTCCACATACTCAAATTTGCTCACCCGTTGCTCGTCTTAAGTGAAGATTCAATTGCCAATTAACATACCAATGAAAGATGTTTTAAAACTGGCTTATTTATAAAAGTTGTTGGCACCCCTGGAATCGAAAATAATGCCAACCAAATGCCATTTCAAATAATCATTTTTCTTTTGGCAGCAGAAAAGATCGCAGTCACACAGTAGCCCTTGATTTATGAACTGTGCTTTTCTCCTTCTCGGACTCCCACGGTCTGCGCAGGCCCCTTTAAGGAACTGGGTTGGAAGCGTTCAATAAGAAAACAATCCTATCTCCAAATACGCTTTTGAATTTCAAATCATATGGGTCTTTGATTATAATTGGCTCCATTCTCATGCCTCCAATGACCAGGTGAGAGAGTGGAGACTGAGAAGTCAGCCTGGAACATACAGGGAGGGATATATGTTGTGAGCAGAATTTGTGGAAATATCTTTCATTCAACATTCCAGTAGGCATTTTCTCAGCCCTGGGTCACATCCTGAAATGACACAATTGTCACCCCAAAACACAGATGAAGGGCTAACAAAGGAGAGGGTAGCTACTCCAAAGCAGGTCTGGAGGAGAGCGGGCAACACGGCCGCAGCAGGCAGACGGACAGGGAGAAACTCCTACGTGCCCTGCGGGATTTTTTGGCCGAGTGTCCATTCTGACAGTGGCCCACCAAACAAAGTGTTTATTGTACTGCGGGCCTGATCCCTGGAGAGGAGGGAAAATGACTCCTTTTGACTGGAGGAAAATTAACTCTTTCCTCTCTTTGGCAGCCAGAAGGCAGACTGGATAAGTACTTAGCGACCACTTTCCTTGGTTGGTTTCAAGGGGCGGGGCGAGGGGGGGGGGGCTCAATGTCAGGAATAGTAATTGTTCCGACTGCATCATTCAATGCCGCAGGGTTGTAGGATCCTCTAAACTGTCACCTATTCTTATACTCCCTTCCACCATCCAGCACAGGTAGACTGTGTGGAAAACACTCAAATAATTACTAAACCATTAATACTGGGCTGCAGTGACTTCTTAATTTTTCACTGAAGTAACTAAAGATCATTTAATATTGATTTTTTTAAAACTTGCTTTCGGACTTGCGCCTAGCCCATGAAATGTTAAAAGCAGTAAGAACTGTATGTTCTGTTTAGATTTTTTTTTTTTTTTTTAAAGGCTGAATTTGGAGGGACAAAGATGGCTGTGCCTCGGGATGGCCGTGGAAACACCAGGGACATACTGAAGAGCTGGAGGGAGGGGTGCATTGGAAGTATGCTCCCTTTAAGAGGGAAATAAGATTAGCAACTTTGGCAAATTTTTGGGCTTCTATTCAGAGGGACAGAGAAGAGCTTCCAGTGCCAAAAAAAAAAAAAGAAAGAAAGAAAGAAAAGATGGATGTTATGAGACAAAGGCACAAGCAATTTTATACCTTACTGAAAGCCTAACTGGGAGTGGTTTTAACTCCTCTGGGGTTAAGAAAGATTTTTTTTTCCCCCTCTTAAGACTAAAGGTAGAGCTAGGGTAAAGGAGTTGAATCTGAAAGAGTGTTCCAATCAGTTCTACTCCGTCCTGGGAAGTACATGAGGAAGAACAGCCTCCGTGGAAGAGAGAAGAAGCAACAGGTGCTGAAGGTGAGGGACTATATTATAGCAACCAGTATGTAAGTTACGTTTTCACATGAAGATAGAAACTCTTAACTGCCTCCTTCTTCTAAGGAAAACCATCTTATCAGAACAATTAAAAAGGTTATAAGACTGCTAGATAAATACCTGAATTATATTCTGCCTTTTTATATTATAGGCTATTTTGTTTTCTAAATGCCCTCATGCCAGAGGAGTCTACAAAAATAAGAGAATTTTTAAAGTCAGTTCAGAAACAGTAGTGAGGCTTCATTTGGGATAATCACAGTGTTTACTCAAGCCTTATGCATTTATAAAAATGTTATTTTCCCTAAGTCATATTTTGTTCCTATAGTGACTGAGTTGAATGCTAAACTGAACTGAGTAATCAATACCGAGCCTCTGTCATTCCGATGAAGTCAGCTATTTCCGACGGCATAAAATTGCTTTGCATTCGGCAAAATGCTCTTAAGATGGAAATTAAAGCTAGAGTTAAAGCGAGTTTAATTTTCTTTTTTTCAGGTTTTAGCTGGAAACCCCAACCAACAAAAAGCAACGCGCCTAGACACATTTCTAGTACAAGCCACCTGGATGCCCGCGGGGCAAAGGAAAGATGAGCTATTACGGTAGCAGCTACCCGATTGTGAACGTGGACCCCAAATACCCAGGGTACCCGCCCGAGCACCTCATCGCCGAGAAGAGGCGAGCCCGGAGGCGCCTTCTCCACAAAGACGGCAGCTGCAATGTGTACTTCAAGCACATTTTTGGAGAATGGGGGAGCTATGTGGTCGACATTTTCACCACCCTCGTGGACACCAAGTGGCGCCACATGTTTGTGATATTCTCTTTATCCTACATTCTCTCCTGGTTGATATTTGGCTCGATCTTCTGGCTAATAGCCTTTCATCACGGAGACCTGTTAAATAACCCGGACATTACGCCTTGCGTCGACAACGTGCATTCCTTCACGGGGGCCTTTCTGTTCTCCCTGGAGACCCAAACCACCATCGGCTACGGGTACCGCTGTGTCACGGAGGAGTGCTCGGTGGCCGTGCTCGCGGTCATCCTGCAGTCCATCCTCAGCTGCATCATCAACACCTTCATCATCGGGGCCGCGCTGGCCAAAATGGCAACCGCCCGCAAGAGAGCCCAGACGATTCGCTTCAGCTACTTTGCGCTCATTGGCATGAGAGACGGGAAGCTCTGCCTCATGTGGCGCATCGGGGACTTCCGACCCAACCACGTGGTCGAGGGTACAGTTCGAGCCCAGCTCCTCCGCTACTCGGAAGACAGCGACGGGCGCATGACCATGGCGTTCAAAGACCTGAAGCTGGTCAATGACCAGATTATCCTCGTGACACCCGTGACTATTGTTCATGAAATTGACCACGAGAGCCCCCTGTATGCCCTTGACCGGAAAGCAGTGGCCAAAGATAACTTTGAGATTTTGGTGACATTTATCTATACCGGGGACTCCACGGGGACTTCCCACCAATCCAGGAGTTCCTATGTTCCCCGGGAAATTCTTTGGGGCCACAGGTTCAATGATGTCTTGGAAGTTAAGAGAAAGTACTACAAAGTGAACTGCTTACAATTTGAAGGCAGCGTTGAGGTATACGCGCCCTTTTGCAGTGCCAAGCAGCTGGACTGGAAAGACCAGCAGCTCCACAACATGGAAAAAGCGGCCACAGTCCGAGGATCCGGCGGCGTGTCAGAAACCAGGGTCAGAAGAAGGTCGTTTAGTGCAGTTGCCATTGTCAACAGCTGCGAAGGCGCAGAGGAGACCACCGCCTCTGCCATGGATGAGTGTAAGGAAGCACCTTACCAGAAAGCTCTCCTGACTTTAAACAGAATCTCTGTAGAATCCCAAATGTAGTCACAAACTATAATTGCATTTAATCATTTTACTATCTAGCAATTACTTTCAGGCAAGTATTAGTTATAAAAAGGGCTTTAAAAGAACATTATAGTTCTGTATGATGCTTATGGGGAATAAGAAGAGCAGGTAAAACGTGATGAAAGGTAATCTAAAAATTGCATAGTATCCAATCATGAAATTTTTTTTTTTTTTGCGCTAGCAAATTTTGTGTTAAGGATGCTACTAAGAGTCTAACTGATTCATATGAATTTCATCTCCTTTTATTATTCCATACACTTGCATCTTCAATCGGAGGTATAATATTCAATAATGGGGGAAGAAAGGTAGGATATAGGAATAAATAAAAATAGAATAGGCAATTAGCATCAATAATAATCTCAATGTATCAAAACTGATAGTATAATGAGTGGCTTCCAATAAAAAAATCATCTAACCAAGATATGCAAGGCATGCATTTAGTAGATTGCAATGTTGAGATATTTAACCGTGATGTCAACTTTTACATTCAAGTCACTTTGTGTGCCCCTCATTGTGTCGTGGCATCAGCAAGAAGAGCTAGTGTCTGTGAGAAATAGACAAGCCACCAATTCAGATGGTTCCTCAGAGCCACTTGCCCAGGTAATGATCAGTGAGAACTAGGAGCTATTTTTCCTCTAACCCATGAGGCAGAAGAAGCAAAATTGGGGTTATTGTTTAGAGCAGTATTTCTCTCAGGTACCTTGGTTGACTCCAACCAGGAAGGGCAGAAATAAGGCAACCCTGACCTTGGTACGTTTTCTGACCAGGGGGCGTTTTATGCCCACCTCCCACCTTCCCCAAGGACGAGGTGAGGGAACAGGATGATAGAGATGGTGGTGGGGGTGGGGGGCGGGGAGCAGACAGCAGCCCTAAACATTCTGGGGCTCTGGGAGGAAAGGCGTTCTGTGTCCTAAAGGACAGCAGCTTCGACTGGCTCCCTGAGGGATGGAAACTTTTTTCTTGGAGGGTGAGGTGGGAGATGAGGGGAGGGTGTTTACTTGTACCCAGAAGCAGCTGCGTGTGCTGCCCCTCTTGGTCACTTTAAAAAACATAAATGCCATGAACTGTGGATTTTAAGAAATTTTTCTATTGAATTTAGAGCAACTATTTAAAGATTTTATAAAAAATAATTAAAGGGATTTAATGCACATTATTAAGTGGAGAAGCTGAGGGTTATCAAATTGCTTAAATTTAAAGACATGAGATACATCTGTATACTTTATCTCCATATTAAAAGATGTTCATCATAACTACTTTAAACACAAATTCAGTCACCTGCGATGAAGAGTCACTTTGTTTTATAAGTTGGAGTTATTAGCTACATTCAGAATCATCTGTATATTTGACATTGTTTTTGAGTTGGCCATCAGTATATGCCATAGATTTTTATTTGTTTATTTTATTTAAATGCACACACATAGTTTTGGATTTCTGAAGTCTCCCTCTCTATTTCAATTAAGGCACACAAATAAATGGAACTAAATCACTTACTCAAAGATGACCAATAACAATAAAGTACATAGCTATATAAAGTGTTTTTCTTGTTTTTTCTCCTTTTTCCTTCCTCCTTCTTCTTTTTCCTTCCTTCCTTCCCCTCTTCCTTTCTTTGGCCTCTGAGCAACAAAGTTATTTTTTAACTGAACATGTGCAAATCTTTTATTTCTGTTGTTTCATGGATGAGAGATTTGTTCCGGTCACAAGTCGCAGAACTGTCTTGGAGCTTAGCATTGGAGAGATGAACAATGCATTTTTACCTGTGCTGCTTCTGGAGTGCGAGCCCCACTTTTCCTTGCACGTACCCTGTACATTTGGGTTTTGTAACAGCAATTGCTCAGAGAAATTAGAGCACTACCACCTACCAGTATTGTTTCACTTTCCTTTGCTTCCTGGACTCTGTCCACTCATGACCTTGCTTTGTGAGCATTGGAACAGAGAGATCAATGTTCAATAAATACGTCCTGTTGTCAAATTCTCTTACCCAGAATAGAATGTAAACTTGGCATTCCTGTGTAAGATTTATCTCTAATTTTCCGTTTAGAGTTATAACCTACTTAGACACCCCCAAAGAGTTACTCTGTAATAAAGCTCTCAAAAATAACTCAGAAAGTGTGCACGAGTGCCTGTGTTCCAGGGGGTGTAAACTCTGTCACCGTGGTTGGCAGCGGGGGCCACGCACAGCAATGACAGTGTTTCCTCTTAGAATTAGGACGCAGGCAGAATTACCAACCATCCTCCTGGGTTGGGGACAGCTTGAAGAACAGCTATATCTGAATTACAATTAAGTGCTTCTGTCAGCATTGCAAGAAGGATCTGTGTGAAACGGCCTTCCTAACTTCAAACCTGTGTCAGCAATGAGGAGTAGGCTGAATATTTTTCCTTACTTTCTCCCTAAAGATGAAATTATTCAGTGAACTTAGATGGAAAGCCAACTGTGGCATCAAGGCACTGGCTCCGCTGTGTGCTGTAGCCTGGCCACAGGCCCTTGCGAGTGAGAAGGCGCAGGGAGAGAGGGAGAAGTGCTATTTTCATGGGCGGCCAACCTGTTCATCAAACTCTATGAGGTCTTGGCACAGATATACTTCATCCTCATGACAAAACAGTGGGTGGATATTTTTAATTTTCAGGCCATCAAATATCTTATTTTTGCCTCTTTCTAACAATATCCCAATTGGAACTGCAATGTGCCCAGGTTAAAAAAAAAAAATTTCAACTCTGCTTTTCAGTCTTCCTTGCAGCTGGGGGGTTGGGAGTGTTTGAGATTTCTGTGACATGGTTCTGGCCTGCGAGGTGTCAGCAGAACTCTGGATGTGACCTTTGAGGAAGGCTGACTTAGTGCCATGTGCCCTTTACTCCCTGCATCCATCCTTTTGAACTTCACACTTGGGAGCTGAAGCTTCTACGGGGCTCTCGTGAGAATGAGAACGCGGACCCGCCTTCCGAGGGAGGTTGGCAAAGGAGAATGGGGTGCACCCTGAGATGGTATAGCTCCAGGCTGCTTCTGCCGGAGTGCGCGTGAATGCGGTTTCTTCCTGACATGGTGAGTGTATATCTAAAGATATATCTAAACGCGATTCCACAGGGGACAAAGGCTGGTGAGGAAAAGATGATGTTTACATTAGGTCCAACTTGCACATGACATTGGATGGATGAGGTCTCCGTGGAAACCACGTAGTTTCTGGGAGGTTGAGGAAATACCACTATTACTGTCAAACAAACACAGAAGAATGACTTTGGCCTGGAAATCTCTCTGAAGACACCCACGGCTGAGTGACCTTGGTAAAAGGCCTGAGCAGGCCTGCTGCCCTTTATCTCTTTCCTTCCCTTTCCCAGAGTGACACTCCATGCTTTAATGAGACTGTCACTGTGGCTACGGGCCTGGCACCCACTGAGACTCGGGCCACAAAGCAGAACCCTGCTGGGACTGTGTTTCCCACCCCCTAGGGAGTCCAACTGCACCAACTTATTCGATTGTATTAACATAGACCAAGAAATCTAGATCTTTTCTGGAAATATTTGTATTTCGTTACTTCTGAGTTGGCCAGGATTTGTGCAAAGTAGATTCTCTGGACTGCACATATTTAAAAGATTACGAACCAAATTCTACTCTGTTTAAAGCATCCTATTAGCTCCCCTGACCGTAAGCATTGATTCTTCTGCTCTGAATGTTCTACAAGCCCTTGTGTGTGCGCGCATGTGTATGTCTAAATAAACTTTGCCTGTGAACTTCTAGAAACAACCCTTGGTCCTCTATAAATCACAGAGCCATGCCTCAATGCTAAATTTGGTGTGGCCTCTCTCTCTCACTTTCATTTTTAAAGGAGCAGTATGACCCATTTGCTGGAGAAAGTAACTTTGGGCCCCACACACAGAATGTCAGTGGGGATAATTCAGACACACAGAGGAAACAGTGGGGAGGCGCTTGGCAAGTTCCCTGTAAAGGTTCTCCTGGATTTGAGGTCTTTGAAAACGAAAGCTTGTCCTAGAGACTTGGTTCAGATACATCTGTGGGCAGAGAGCAAGCAAGGCCTCCGACAGGGGCCTTTTCCCGGAGAGACAAAATCATAGTGTTGCCAGGAAACCATCGCTAGTCTGCATTGCTTTGCAGCTTTTCTTCAGGAAGAAAAACATTATGTCTGAGCGAATTCCCAAGCTCTTTCCCTGTGCCCAGTTGATGAAAGCCACTTCACTCAGTCGTCTCATGACTCTGTGACGTTTGGCTGGGGACAAATGGCATCTTATCCCATCATGTCGCCCTTGCTCCTTTCCTCAGAAATGTTGGGGATATTTAGGGTAGAGTTCAGAGACTTAGTCAACATGGCTGCATGTTCCTAAGTTCATTAGTCTCTTAGTTGCTGAGTACCTAGCAGGGGAAATGTAAAAATAAAGAAACTATCGCCTCTTGCTATTTGGGCCCATTGATTCATGCTGCAAAGTAAGAGTGCTGGACCTCGAGTCTGTCATCACAAGAAAAGGCAGCTGGACTGAGATGGAGGGGCTTCTAAGTAAATACGATCTGGTAACCTGAGCCGGGTAATCACTGAAGTCAGACCGTCCATGGGAACTCGGGCGCCTCAGCGGGCTGCGGAGAAACAGGTTAATCATGTAACGTTTTCAGCAAACCGGGAGGATGAAAACCCAAACAGATAGATTAAGTCTTGCTAAATTACACAGCCAAAGAATGCTTTTTTTCTCTATGCTATAATTTACCACAGGGGCCTATAAGACATCCTTAATCACTATCTAAGTAACATGAACTTGAGAGAGAAAGAGCCCCAAGAGGTTTAGACCCTGTGAAAACTTCGTTACAGAAAGTTATCAGAAACCTTCAGATTTCCACATAAAATACTTGGGTCATGTGCACTGTGCACCGTGGGTAAAGGCTCTTTATTTGAATTGGAAGCACATGTTTCAGATCAGTTATTTACTGTGCTGCCTGTTGATTCTATCTGATGCCGGTTTGCCTGGAGAGGGGAGGCTAGCCCTAGGGGGCCAGGGTAGAAACAGAGCTAGCCAATTCCTAAACGAAAAATGTTTTCAGATATTAGCTCATTTAATCAGAGTTCATTTTACATAGGAGGATCCCTCCAA